CCCCCCCCCCCCCCCCCCCTTCTCCCGCCCCTCCCTCTTTTCTATTTGAGTGAAAAAGAAAAAGAAAAAGAAAAAGAATTATTATGTTCCATGGCCCTGGTGTGTGCCTGGCTCCTGAGTGCTGAACGACTTCCTCCAAGAACATGATGCCATGAACCGTTTCGCTGGCAATTCGATGAGCTCGGCACGATCAATGGCGTCCTCCGTATTAGTGCATAGTGCATAGTGCATCAAGATTGCGGAATGCAAGATGCAATATGCATGATGAACCCTCAAGTAACCGCGCGAGTCCTCAACTAAATGGCGGGAACCCTCAAGTAATGGCGGGAACCGTCAAGGAATGGAGCGAATCCTCAAGTAACTGGTTAGTAGTGGCGGGAATCATCAAGTACTGGAGCGGATCCTCAAGTAAATGGTCGGCAATGGCGGGAACCATCGAGTAATCGGGCGAATCCTTGAGTAAATGGTCGATAATGGCGGGAACCCTCAAGTAATGGAGCGAATCCTCAAGTAACTGGTTAGTAGTGGCGGGAATCATCAAGGACTGGAGCGGATCCTCAAGTAAATGGTCGGCAATGGCGGGAACCCTCAAGTAATGGAGCGAATCCTTAGGGAATGCCATGAATCCTCAAGTAAGGGTGCGAGTCCTCAAGTCAAAGTAAATGAGCGGAAATTAATCAATTCATCAATCAAGCAAGCAATGGATCAATATCAATCAATCAAGCAAGCAAGCAAACAAGCAAGCAACCAGTGAACAAATCAACAATCCCACCAATCAACAAATTAATCAATCGTTCAATCAATCAGTCAATCAATGAATCAATGAATCAATGAATCAATCAATCAGTCAATCAATCAATCAATCAATCAATCAATCAATCAATCAATCGATTATATAGCCAAACACTCAATCAATCAGGAAGTCACTTGATCAGTCAGTTGGCGAATCAATCTGTCAATCAGACTCTCCCAGATAGTAAATCACTCAATCAAGCAATCGATCAATCAAGCCATCACGGAATCCATCACTCAAGCAGTCGATCAATCAGTCAATAATTAATTCAAACAATCAGTCAATCAACCAGTCAATCAGATGCTCCCACGCAGTGAATCAATCAATCAGAACTGCATTTTAACTGAGCTGGAAAAAAATCAACCACTCTGGCATGATTAATCATAGTCCGACAAAGTTTACAGACAGGACTGAAAGCCAATGAAACGATAGAAAAAGGGCGGACTCAAGTTACCCTAACCCCTCTAAACCCCTCTAAACCGCCTTAACCCCCTAAACCGCCTAGACCCTAAACCCCTCTAAACCCCCCTAACCCCCCTAACCCCCCAGGTCCTAACCCCTCTAAACCCTAAACCCCCTAAACCCTAAACCCCTTAAACCATTAACCCTACCAATGACTTGCATGTCCAAAGACAGTCCACGCCTACACCATCAATATAACATGACGTCAATAACTCACACGTGCAGCCACCATAGTCCCAGAATGAGCGGTGCTCAGCCAGTTTAACACATG